TCAACCATCAATTTAAGCTTTTAGTTGAGATAGTCTATTAACACAATTAGCCAACAAGAGCGTCTAAAATATTTTGGCCTGGGGGCCTTTTGTCAATATAAAATTTGGGGGCTCCTACAAATTTACTATAGAATCTTCATAACAAAAACTTTCGTCAGACTTTGTTCACTCATATTATATAGTAGTTAGGTCTTATGTAATTCAAATATAAGATCCTCAAATTTTCAATCCTATCCACATCCTAATCACGCACTAGAGCACAACTCACTTTAAATTAGTGTTGTATTTTACCCACAAAACAAATTTAGTCAATTAATTGTTCAAACCAACTTACTATGTCATGTATTTTGTATGTTCTTAGAATATACGGATGTTAATTTACAATTTATGATTAATTTTGTTTAGAGGTGTTATAAATTGGCTAGATTTGACCTAAGTCGAAATTGATTTGATCCAGAATTCGACGACCTGTATATGTGTGGACACAAAGATTTGACATGACTCAAACTCTAACTAGATTCAAACTAAGTTAAAATTGATTTGATTCAAAATTTAACTTGTGTGGACACAAAAGAGGTGTTATAAATTGGCTAGATTAACCTAAGTCGAAATTGATTTGATCCAGAGTTCGACAACCTGTATATGTGTGGACACAAAGATTTGACATGACTCAAACTCTAACTAGATTCAAACTAAGTTGAAATTGGTTTGATTCAAAATTTAACCTGTGTGGACACAAAGATTTAGCATAACTCAAACTCTAATTAGATCGATCAAATTAAACCCGACCCAACACTTGAATTGACACCTCTAATTCTGCTATAATGATTAGCTGAAAATAAGTCATTACAACTCATGAACCCTTTCGAACTAATACTTGATCAGCTTGCATTGACAATTAGGTACCATTAATTAGTTAAATTTAGCCAATAATTATACTGTATTAAATTTTCTTAATCGGCCATTCTCAAATTAAAGGTATTGTATGCCCTACAGGTTGTAAATAACAAACAAGAAAGTGATCGAATAAAATATTACAATTATGCGATTTATATATAGGGTTGAGATACGGTGAAAAACATACTTATGATGGCCAAGTCCCATGCACCCTTAAGGGTTGATTGCAAGGGGTACACTTTGGACATGTGGTATATCGTATATGATATGTGGATTTGTGTATGTTAAGGCCAAATGCAACTAGGCATATCTAATTTTTGTAATGTTTGTATATTATTACATTAACAATTTAATTAACACGTCGATCAGACTTCATTAGCCCAAGTTTTTTATTAAAAAAGTACGTTGAGTTGTTGACATGCTCTGGGCAAATTGTAGGATTTTGAGCTACACTTGTTTTAGTAATGCAAATAGCTGCTATAGAAGATGTGATTATTAGCCTAAACTTTGTATGTATGTCTACCTTTATGACTTTGTCTATAATTGACCAATTTATTTATAAGTTATAATTCGAAGATGTTTCTAGCCTCAATTGTATTTAAATTTATTTTTCTTAATGTGTGGATCTATAAGTGATGAGAGTAAAATATAATTTGAAGATGATAACAAGTAAAATATATATTTTTTTTTTAAATAAATAACAAGTAAAATATTAATTCGAATAATAATAAATTTAGCAAATTAAAAATAAATTTGATCCAATTTTGATACACTATAAAAAAGAGGGAGAAAAAGGTCCGAATGTCCGATCATGGAAGCTAATAGACAATAAGGAGGACAAATTACTAAATAAACTAATAAATTGGAAGTTAATAGACAAGTAGTAATTTAGAAATAAAGGATGAAATTAAAAATTAAAGCATTCCAACCTGCGAAGTATGATTTTGTTGACTATCCATTTTGTGACATACTCAATGCCGCTTCAATAATTAATTAATTACAGAAAGATTGCAAGTAGCATTAGATTAACACTATGGTTGCCTAATTGCAAAAAAAATATAGCATACCAGTTTCTTGATAAGAAGTACCCTTAATCATAAGATATAAATTAAGTCTTGTTTTTATAATAATTTCAGTACAGTGCATGTTCGGGTCTTCGTCGATCAATGATTACAATTAATCTATAATATAAGAAATATTATAAACTATAGTAGAATATATTAATGTTAATTATAAAGTTCCAAGAATATTTTTAAATAATATTACGCCAACAATTTGAATCCATTTTTAGTGTAAGACTTTTTACTCTTAACCCTACTATATATGGTATTATTCGCATCTAATATTAATACACATACATAAGAATGTTTACAATTAACCTATTATGATACGTCCAATTGTATTATTTCTCTTTTCAGACGGTCCATAAAAATAACCTCATTTTCTTGTAAAGGTATCCTTAAGATATTACCCATGCATATTCATACTAGTTGATATATATGGTCCTACTATTTTTCTCCACTTTCTTTTTTACGTTAACAATTATGGAGTACAACCCAGCTAAACATCATTCAATGAAAATATTGTGTTCTCTTCATATTATAGCATAGTTTCACATGATAAAAAATCAAAACAAAAATTTCTTTTTTTTTTTGTTTCTTTTGTGTGTTTAAAAAGCCACTAGGACGGGGACAAAAATTTCTACTATTTGTGTCCCTCTCTATGGGCCCAATTCCATAAAATGATGAAATTATCAAAATGCCATTGGCCTAAATCCTGGAACAAGGATTTTTTTAGAGCACGAATCTTGACAAACCCAAATACGGCCCAACACAACCATAATTACTCCTAATCAGTTAGTTAGCTTTCCTCAATAAATAATGATCAACATAGATCAACCGGGTAATTCATTTTCTTGACTCTCTCTTTCTACAAACTCTCTCTATAAACAATTAAGTGATCCTTGCTCGTTGGAGGGGCTTTCTCGGGCTATTGCAGAAACATCTACAAATATGATCTTCTAAAATGAAATGCAACAACAATTTTGTGTAAATCCTAAGATGAAATAAAATGATGCATGGGCCCTATTGGAGTAAAAAGTTCCAATAGAAGTATAAAATAAGAATCACATCGATGAAGATAGTAGCAAGACTTTAGTTGACATTGGCTGCTAAACGCGTAAAGATTAGACTAGAATTCTTTATCATATGCGGCACCTTCATCTCATGCAATGAAATTATAGAGGAAATGTCAACTTAAATTAAATTATCAGAAGTCATAACCTTCAACTTGGGTTTTATACTACTGAATATTCAATTTCCTAATTCCACATTTTTTTATTAAACGTCCACTTGTTTTTTATTACGCATAATAATTAATATTTTAGGGTTGTTTAGTACTTTTGTATTGGAGATTAGAGTCTCTAAACAGGAAGTGTGAAATGACCGCTTAGAAATTATTTCTTTAGGATATGTGAAAGGAGATTTTAGTGCGTTCTTTTTGCCTTAAGAAATACAAAGTAAGTTACAAGTTCGGATAAAATTAGATAACTTTCAAGCAGTCTAATAAATTACAACTGGATTTAATAAGTTCTACTTAGGAACTTATCTGATTCTTTTTTTTTTTTTTTTGAAAGAAGGAACTTATCTGATTCTAAATAAGTCTATATTTAATTTTTTTTTTCCCTTTTTTTAAGTAACATTTTGCACAATTTACATATTAGTGCGTTCTTCCGTTTTTTTAAGTAACATTTTGCACAATTTAAGTACTTGTTGTATAATATATTTTTGTACTAGTCTCAATGTATATAGTTTATGAATTTTATGAATTATATACTAATACACATTAAAGATTTTAACGGTCAAACATATGTATCAACATGCGTAAAATGTAATATTGTGTCACTTAAAAAAAACGAAGAGAGTAACACATAACTTCATTTAACGTATGACATTAATTTCTTAGTTCGTTTGATACCCTTTTCATCCCTTAAAAATTGTCTCATTTTATTTTTTGGGTTCAAATTTTATAAACTTTGACCATGAATTCTCATTGATCTATAATAACTAATGTAGTTATGCGAAATCTTATTTCTTTCATTTCAACGTCTACTTTAAGAATATCAAAAAAATAAAAATTATGTATAAAATTGAAGAAATCTATATTTTAAAACGTATCTTAAGAACAGTAAATAACAAATGGACAAACAAATAAGGATGGATAAAGTAATATATCGTAATACTTTGTATTTCCTATTTAAGGCAAAATTGGCCACAATGACACCATCTATTGATGAGGTGCATAGAATAGCATCATCTATTCGTTAGATACCCTATAGCACCACCTATTCTCTTGGACGTGTACAATGACATTATTGACACCGAAGGCCGGAGATTTCACCAGAAAATTAAAGTAAAATCTTGCTCATTTAATTATTATTATTATTATTATTTTTTTTATATATATTTCTCTCACTTTTTTTGATTCCTTTTGTAAAAAAATTACACCCCATGTAGCTTTGGTTATTTCTTCTTTATTTCATTATATCCCACATTCCCACCTGACCTCATATTCCCAATTAAATTTTTTCACCCTCCACTATTCACCTAATCATCATTGTTAGTTAAGATGAAAGCAAGAATTTCACCCAAATTTGTATTATTACAGTCTTTGTTGCATAATTTTTATGGTATAAAAGTGGGGTATAAAGTATAATGAAATAAAGTATTTTTTTTTTCATTTTTACAGCCTTATTTTTACAGTACAGTCTTTCTCAACAATGGTGATTTTTCATGGTTGAAAATGAATGGTGGAGGGTGAGAAATTAAATTGGGGATTAGAGGTTTAGTGGTGGAGTATAAAGTATAATGAATAAACAAAGTAATAATCAAAGTCACGTGAGGGTTGTAAAAAAATTTTATAAAGGGAAACATATAGAGAGAAATAAAATAAAAATTGAAATAAGCAAAATTTTACTTTTCCAGTGGAATGTTCAAGTCTTCGTATCATTAATGTCATTGTACGCACTCAAGACAATAGGTGGTGTTATATGGTATCTAACTAATAGATTGTAGTATTCTATGCATCTCATGAATAGGTGGTATTATTTTGGTCAATTTTTCCTAAATTTAATAACGAAAAAACAACTACTAAATATAGGTAGTATAAACCTCCATTCCTCATTCCACCATACAATCCCATTCCCAAAACTCTCATCACCACAAAATACCATCCATCCCATCCCATAAAACAAGTTTGAATTTGTCCAATCACCCTATGTTAAAACCCCCCCTATAACATCTAACCATAACTTATTAATTTTATTGTTATAAAACAATGTATAGCAATTAACCCATACCAAAAGGAAAAATCTAACCAACAACAACACACGACTCGTTTTCCCGTTACCATACCCTCCAATTATAATTTTTAAAAAAATAATCAAAAAAGTTAGAAGAAAGTGACCATCCCTCTCATATATATACCCCTAACCCCCCCAAAAAAAGTCCATTCCCTCCCACCCCAAATTCTCAAAATTTTCTCTCTCCTTAACTTCAAAAGTAGTAATCTCATTTTCACCACCACTTTCCAAAAACAAACACTTAAATTAATATCAGTCTAAAGTAAAATTACAAAAATGCCCAAATCATCCGTATTACTCCACCGTATCACCACCAACACCCACCCCACCACCACCTCACCATTCTCCCACCTCCACCCCAAACCTCTTTCCATTCCGCCGCTATCTCCTCCGGGTTTCGAAGTCCCGGACGACGTCGTTCGGTACCACGCTCAATCCGTCAATTCACACCAGTGCTCCTCCGCCGTCGTCCAAGAGATCTCCGCCCCTGTCTCCACCGTCTGGTCCGTCGTCCGCCGCTTCGACGCTCCTCAACTCTACAAACACTTTGTTCGGAGCTGTGACGTCATATCCGGCAACGGTGACGTCGGCACTCTCCGCCGTGTTCGCGTCGTCTCCGGTCTCCCCGCCGCTACCTCCGATGAGAGGCTCGAGATCCTCGACGACCACCGCCACGTCATCTCCTTCTCCGTTGTTGGTGGGGACCACCGCCTCTCCAACTACAGGTCGGTCACGTCGTTGCACCCGGCGGTTGGCGATACTGGCGAGTCTACGCTTGTGGTCGAATCATACGTGGTCGATACGCCCGCGGGGAACACGAAAGAGGAGACTTGCGTGTTTGTCGATACCATTGTTCGGTGCAATCTTCAATCGTTGGCTCAGATCGCCGAAGGAAGAGGGAGAGATGACAAGAAGAATTCCTCCGGATCTTAAAAATTAAAATTAGGAATTTTTTTCTTTTATTTTTCTTCTTCTTCTCACAACTTTTGATATGATACCACCATCAAATGCGATCTCGAGGAATTGAAAACAAGGTCTTGAGAGAAGACCTGTCCTAACTTTTGTGTATTATAATCTCGAGAATCGAAATGAAAAACAAATGACAATCGATCGACAGCGTTTTCGACAACCAAATGGGGTGTTGATGATATATAAATTTTTTTGTGTTGTTGATCGGAGTACAAATTCAAGCTCTAATAATTTGCCCCTTTCATTCCCCCTCTCTTTTAATTTTTGAATTTGTCAAAAACAAAGATTGATGATACATAGAACATAGCTCTAGTTTTTGCTGTACTTAATTTCTTTCTTCCTTTTTTCTTTAATGTATTGCTTTGATGCATGCCTTTTGATTTTTGGGGTTCATGCTTTCGTCAATTTTCTTTTAGCTAGGGTAAACTCAAATTTTACATTATGTTAAGAATTTAGATGATAAATGTAGGAAACTATAAATTTCGATTTCGAGTTTAATTATACAATGTGTAGATTGAATTTCAAATGTATATTTTGATGCTAGTTTGTGGAATTGAATCAAATCAATGAAGGAAAGAGACTCAAAGTGGGGACTATTGTTTTCTTGGTTGGAAATTGAAGTTGTGGAGTTAGCATTATTATTTTTATTATTATGAATGAATATCTAAAAATGGATATTAAAATTTTTATGGGCAATTTGGATTATTTTTTTTTATCATTGCACCACCAACAGCTTTTCAATAATCCGGATGTGGATAGAGATCCAAATTATTACAAGTATGGGCGGGGTTACGGCATGAGGATCACAGCTTAATTTCGTTGCATATGTCAGAAAATGCATGATCTTAATGAACAACTAACCGTTTTAATTTTTTGTAGAATGATTTTAATCTCTTGGATTCTTGAGGAGGTATTAATGTATAATATGTAAATCGCAATACCGAGTACGATTTTTAGTTTGTTGTAGTCGTACTTCAAAAATACTACGTATGTATGTATTGTTTAATTTGTGGTATATGAAGCATTATTATACGGTTGTATGTTTGATTTCGTAGTGTATTGTTCTATGATTATATTATATGGTCATATATATATATATATATATTCGAATTTATCTTGTGCAATTTGTTTTGTTTGGTTTTTACCTGTTTAGGGAGGTTGGAAGGTTTGTAAGGTTGCTCCTCTAAATAGTAAAGTTGGTAGCTTATGAAATGCAGTTTATTACTTATTTCATAGGTACATTGTACACTTTTTAGTGGAAATAATTAATAAAACAAAAAGGATGCTTAGCTTACTTCACCATTATGTATTTAACTCTAAGCTAGTTGCTTCTCAACTAATAATAGCAATAACAAAATAAATTAGTGGAAATACCCAATTGCTTAAAGAATTTGATAGATCATGTTAAAAGAGATCGTATATGCTTTGAGTGCATGTGATGCAAATAGCAACAATGCTTAATTACACTACTAACCCCCACTAGTATTATAATTATCATTTATCTAATTATAATTTCCAGCTCATTTAATTTGTCTCTTCACAACATCTACTACTTCCCTCCACATGTGCATAATTAAACTTTTATCTAATAATAAGAATAATACCTTCATATATGTGAGGTTTAACTCTCTTCGTCCGAAATTAATTGTCACATATGTTATAGAAATAAAAGATAGCAAACGCCGCATGCAGGGAGAAAAAAAAAACAGATAAGTATAGAAGAGGTTGTTTAGTTAGAGAATATGCGTCAAAAAGATCGAAAGGGCGTGATAGATAATATTATCTAGAAGTAAACCAATTGCAATAAAGAAATAAGGAAAAGGAAAGATAGAAAACAATAACGTGAAAGGTGGGAATGGGGTATTGAAGAAGAATCAGAAGGGTCATCTTCTTTCGTTCTTTGTTGCAACTTGCACTAATTTCTTTTTTATTTTTATTTTTTTGAAATAATATAATAATAATAATAATGCAAAGAAAAAAAAAAAAAAAAAAAAGAGGAAGAAAACTGATAATCTAAAGATCAACTGGGTTGTTGGTGATGTAATAGTTTGTTGGTATTTTAAATGAGAAATATAATGAATAAAGAAATAATAGAAGAGCAAGTTGCATGGTACGAGTAGAAAAGTTTGTTTGTTTCTGAAAATTTTCTCTCTCCTAATTTCTTAAGGTTGTACTACTGGTTAAGGAACATACAGAGTAAAATGTAGTTTTAATTTTTTTTAAAAAAAATAAAGAAAAAGAAGTGCAAGTTGCAGGAGTAGAGAATATTGTAATGGCAAGTGGGAGAGGAGAGAGAAAATGAAAATATGCAAGTTGGAAGGAAGAAGGAAAGAAGATAGATAGAGAGAGAGAGAAAAGAAATTAAAAGAGGTGGGCTTTTAATGAATCTCGTGTGGGTATTGAGTTGTCTACTTGCCTTCATCACGCTACTTCCCACACCCTCTTTCCTTCTCTTTCTCTCTCCGACTCGACTCGATCAGATACATACATATATATGTTGTTTTATTGGGTACGTGTCTAAGCATCTGACTCGACTACTCAGTCGAATATATACTAACGTACGTATGTTGTTATATTAGATACGTGTTTAAGTGTCTGACTTCACTTTTCTAATTTAATTTTATTATGAGATAAGTAATTAGTATGTGCAGAAATTTGAGTGCAACGACTAGTTAAGATCGGTAGTTGCACTGTCAATTAGTCTCACCTCTTTGATTTCCAGGTCGGTGGAATTGTTTCTTTGGGTTCGCTCTAAGACTGCCGTGGCATTAGGAATTTTTTAATTGATGCAATATTCTCTTTAGATTTGCTGCTTCAGTCCTTAATTGGTACCGTTATTGGTACTACAAAATCAATAATAAATTATGTGTTTGATAATAATATCATAGCATAGCCCATCATAATTAATCGTACCCTAATACCCCTACTTAAATAATAGTAATGATGTCAATTTTGCATTACTTATAAAATAAATTATTATGGAGTTTTGTATAATACTTCATCAGTTCTATAATATAGTGTTCGTTTTCAATTACATGCTCAAATTTTGAAAATACTGGCCAACGAAATTGACCTAGACAATTTCTCAAAAAAAAAAAAAAAAACATAAACGCTAAAAGGCTATAAAATAATACCAATAGTGCGTCTTGTGTACGGTTAACCACCATGTGACCGCTTGTAAAAAAACAAAGTAATTATAACATTGGTTGAGTAATAACCCATGTAATATTAACTGAGTAACCCCTATAACACTGACGAAGTAACTCATGTAATACTCCCCAATTAGCCCTAAAACACTAATGAAGTAACCCTATGATAGCTAACCACACGGTGTGGCCAGCCAAATATAAGAATTTGTGTAATACCAAATATCTAGGAATGTCAACGAGTCAAGCCGAGCATTAGCCTATTAAGCACCTATTAAGCTAGGCTTGATAAGAAACACATGAGCTCAAGTCGAACTCAACGAACTGAGCTTTATTTTTTTCTTGTTCGAGCTTGAATCATTTAGGTATTTTGATATTATTCGAGCTTAGCCTACTAAGCTAGGCTTGGTAAGAAACACATGAGCTCGAGCCGAGCTCGAGTTGAGCTCAACGAACTAAGCTTTATGTTTTCTAGTTTGATCTTGAATCATTTAGGTATATTTTGATATTATTCGAGCTTAACTAGCTACAATAATGTAAACGAGCCTTAGCTTCATAAATGAACAATATCGACTTTCAATGAGTAATTAACAAACATCCTATTATTAAAAATAACCAATTATAATAATATAAACTTGGGGTAATGTTCTGTTATACTATAAATCTCTTAAAGATACAATTCATATCCTCAAACAAACTAATTGCTAAATTTTACATTTTTTTTTTTAAAAATTCGAGCTTGATTGAGTTTTAAACGAACTTACAAACAAACAAGAACAAGCATATAACCGAACTTGAATGAATTGCTCACAACTTCACATGCCTAAACGAGTCGAGTACTAAGTTGTTCGAGCTACTCGTTAACTAAATGAGTTTTAAATTTTTGTTTGAGCTCGTTTGTTTATTAATGAACGAGCTTTGACTGGGTTTTAACCAAGTTTATTATATTCACGAGCTGTTTATGAGCGCATCGCCTCATTAATTGACATCCCTATAAATATATAATGATATTATTTACTAACTCAATCCTAATATCAATATGAAAAATATATTTTCCTAAAATGTAACAATTTTTTATAATTTTTGCTGATACGTAATAATTCTTATTGATATTAATAGTAATATGAAGTACTTTTCTAAAAACTATATATACGAAGTATATGTTTTTTTTGCATTTCCTATATTAAATTTCGAACATGCATAATTAAGTTTAGTACATGTTTGTAAAAGACAAATAGATGAAATTTTGAAAATATACAATGAGATTATTATTATTATTATTATTATTATTATTATTATTATGAATAAATATATATTTATTAAACTGGTACAAACTTTTACTTCAAATATTAAGTGTTACAATCTAACTATTACAATATTCAAATAATATTACTTGTTAACTTAGGTCATGTTCTCTTCACCATTTTTACTATACTAAAATTATTTTTTACAAAACTGGAGTTTTTGCTGAACTTAAATTATTTTTTATTGAACTTAAGTTTTTCTTACGGATTAAAACTTATTTTGATTAATTAAAACTTTTTTTTTAAATGATTCTCTATTATATATTTGTTTTTAAAAGTTTATGATTTTCAGTTATTAAAATTTATTTTTAGTGAACTAAAAAAAATTGAACTTATTTTTACTTAAATGATATTTTTAATGAATATTAATTCGTAATTAAATAAGGTGAATAGAACAAGACCTTAAATCGAGAAATGATATTGTATAAAATGTTATTGGGTAAGTCATAATGTATGTTTTCATAATATTAATTTTAGTCTATGAATTTTTCTCTTGAAAAATAGATATTGGTCATTTTCCTTATAGTCACAATGGCCAAAGTTATGAATTATGAAGTAAAAGTGTATTGTCAAACAAAGTAACACCTACTAAAAAAACAAAGGGAGTGTAATCAAATGAAGATCAGTGAGTTAAAATCTTAATTTTTTACTCAGTCGATCCCATTTTACTTCTTAATTGTCAATCTTAGGAAAAAAAAAAAGAAGAGAAATGATTCATACTTTAGTGTTTTATCCGATATCCCTCTAACTTGATGCAGTCAATACAAAATTAGGAGATTTGCTAGCATGTGTCCATAAGCTCAAATTAAGTCGGAGTACAAAATTACTTATTAATAATTTTTTTGATAAATATTATTAAAATTATTTAAAGTTA